CCGGCTGGCGTTCGGCTGCTCTTGTCGGGAGGGAAGGGGGTAAGGCTGGGTTTATCCGGATTCAGCGGGACCCCACTGGTGGCCGCACCGCTAAGCCCTCGCCCCGCCGCCCAAGGCCGGGAGAGCCGCAGCCCTGGCTGCAGCCTGGCTCTCAACCCGAATTTGTGCTCCGCCCGCAGTCAGACCAAAGTCGGAATCCAGCACCTGGCTAGCGCGATGCCCAAATTTGTATCCCCTTCCTTCACTAAATAAATGGGAGGAATGGCAACAAACGGAACAAAAAAACAGCTGTTCCCCAACACAGCAGCGCAGAAAACAGCCTCCCTTCTTTGCCACGTCCTTAAATCCGGTATTTCTATCAGCTCCTCTGGGGCCCCGCTCCAAAAAAGCTGTCTACACCAAGATTTTACCAGTGCTGGACGCTGGTTTCCCTAAGAGGAGAACACAGTAAAACCAGGCACCACTCCTGGTTCCATCCAGACTCGGCCGCTTTTTGAACCAAAACTGATTATGTGATTCACAGTCTTCCACTGCTAGGAAGGAAGATGTGTTTCACCAGCCAGCTCTCCAGCTCCAGATGCTGCCTGGACAACCAGGCCATGCAGCTTTGGATCCTGCCCGCTCCCGAATGTTTTGGCCCCGGGCAGAAGTGGTCCTTCTGCTGTTCTTAAAAGGAACTGGGTTGTATGGGAAAATAACACCCATGCTGGGTTGGACCGTGGAGCCACCTCACGTTTTTTTTGTCTGACTGTGCCCAATACTGGGTATTTGAAAAGGAAGAATATAAGTTTAGACAAGCATTTACTGATAGTCTTCCCCACTCCTTAGTGATTTGCAGCTCAGTGAATTCCTGAGTCAGAAGTGGTATTTGTGCATAGCTACATGACTCTGGAATAAGTAATAATTGCTAGAAGTCACTTTTTCACCTGTAGCGTTCTAGAGGTGACCAGTCGTACAAGCCACGAGAGGTGCAGTCCATCCCCTTTGCAGTCCCCTCATGACTGAAGCCATGGCATACAGGGCACAGATAACTTGGAAATGAACCTTGTGCACCAGATCTTGTATTTAAGATGGCTGGTAGGTATGTTGACTGGTATCTTTACATTACCAATTACATATATATTTATATCCAAAATACATGGATATAAACCACCTCGATTACCAGACCTGAATGTCACAGCGCTCCTTTGAAAGATCCAGGGGGCTTGTTGCATTTTGCTTTGCTGCTATCGCAGCACTTACAGATTTTTAGGCAGTAGAATTGGGTGGTACCAATAGAAAACTTTAAAAGTAGCCACCAGAAAAAAGGTGAATCCAGCCTTTGCCAATTCCTTCAGGCTAGTCAAATTGCTCAGTTACATCAGACCTTTTTTCACAAAGGTCAATCTTTTCACTTCCCTGGAGAAGTAAGCTAAAATGAGATTTTATTTATTTATTTATTTATTTATTTTTAATTTAAGAACCGACAATTTCTGGAAAGCAATGTGGTCACAAACCTCGGTAGTAAAGTGATGGATGGGCTTCAGGAATTGCTTTATTAGCAATTCTTTTACTTAGAGTTTATTAGGTGTATCTAGAATTTCTATGGAGAAACCCGAACCTGTGAAGCATGTGCCACGATCGCTGGGAAAGACACGGCTCCACTAGGTGGCACAAATACACCACGCAAAAGCAAGAAGCAACCCACCTCCCATTCAACGTGTTTTAGTTATGCATTTATGCAAAGCAAATGGGTACGGATCAAGATTGCACACACAGCTATAGTCCTGTAACCCACGCATCTCTTCACATAAAAAAACCAAGCTCAGATGTCAAGGTGCTCCTTTGGACCTTGAGGCTCAATGAAAATCTCCCCAAAGAGCAGTATCTGCTCCTGCAGACCTTGACTTACAGATGACTAACCACGCTGCAACTCATTTCCGTGTTTGCATTCAGGAAAATAAGGCTGTCACTGCTCAGCAGTATTCAAACTGAGGAGAAGAAGCCACAGACGTTCCCATTTTCCTCACTTTCTTCCATTTGCTGCCAGGCCATTCTAGTCAGTTTAAGCAAAATCCGATTCCTGCACCATCACCATGAAATGGTAGAGGGGACAGCACTGACAAACCTGGTGGAGCAGCTCTGCTCCAATGATGCTGAGCTAGCGGCACACACGGGTGGGATGCACAACTATCATGTGATAAATTTCAAAACTGTCCATCTACCTGAGCTCTAATGTAGATAGATCTAATGTTGAGACAAAACAATGGCAAAACAATTATTTTTAGACTTGTCATTTTGCAAAAGTCAAAGATCATAATCAGAGAATAAGGGACAATTTCACTACAGCTGGATAGGCACTTACCCAATCACACTGCTCTTAGGAGAATTTCCCCCCAGTCACAGAATTGTTTCCCCTCTGGAGACCATCTAGTCCAACCTCCTGCTCAGAGCAGGGTCATCTACAGCAGGCTGTCCAGGACCTCCTCCCATTGGATTTTGAATACCCCTGTGGATGGGGTCTCCACAACCTCTTTGGGCAGCCTGTTTCACTCTTTGACTACCCTCTTGAGGGAAAAAAAAAAAAAGCATTTATGTTTAAATGGAATTCCCTGTATTTCAATTTATGCCTGTTGTCTTTTGCATCTTCCCTGGATACCATGGAGAAGAGACCATCTCAATCTTTTTACTCCCACTCACCAGGTATTTATGTAGATGGAGATGTTCCCCTCCCCAAGCCTTCTCTTCTCAAGGCTGAACCCCCCCAGCCTGCTCAGCCACTCCTCATGTGATAGATGCTCCAATCCCTTAATCATCTCTGGGGCCCTTTGCTGGACTTGCCAAGAACGCCCACGTCCCCGTTGCATTGGGAGCCTTACAGCAGACGTCATGTTTGGGGAGTTCGTTATCTTGAGCAAGCCCTCTCTGCTCTACCGGGGTGCCCCGCCTGTGCTTCGCGCTGGCGGCTGCTGCGGCAGAGATAACCTTGCAGCCTGCCAGAATGTACATGGGGTTTTTTTGCCTTTGTGGCTAAAACGGTGGGGCTAGCGCACCTGCGATGCAGCTGCTGCTGAACAGTGCTTGCACAGCATCAAGGCTTTCTCTCCCCCCAGCCCCATTTATACTGGGAGGAGGAATGGTGGGACTTTAGGTCCAGGAATTAATGGTGCTGCAGCTGTTGTGATCGTTGTTTTGCCCAAGAAGGGTCACAGGATGAAATGAAAGGGGAACGCCTGCATACATAAAGCTAGAAGACCAGGGTACCAAAACTGCACACAACTGGTTTCTTACACTCTTAGAGAAAGAGAGGAAGTATATAATACTGTCCCAAAGAATAGTTTAAAAAACCCAAAAAGTCTGTGGTCATATGCTTTCATTTAGGAATAACAGCATTTGGATAGGTCAGGCTTGCCACATGCACACCAATTTCTGTTTAAAATATTTTAAATTGAAAGATTGAAGCCCTGAGCTTAACCTTTTTTAATTAGCAGCAGATAGGCATCTCAGCATTTCTCAGATTTAGGGTGTCAAATAAAGAACAAATGGGGCTTTCCAGCTGAACCTTAAAATTGCTTATTTAACTTTAGGTTAATTATCTAAAATTTAGGAATATACTGTAAGACAAAAAAAAAAAATTCATTCCAGGAATTTCTTAAAAACACATTACGATAAGTTTAATTGAGCAATTAGGCTTCAAATAAATTGATAAAACCTCTGCTTCTGACAATAGACTTTCTTTGTTCTGTAGAGAAACAGCCCCAACGATGATCACTTTTCCTTCATTATTTTTCTAATGTTATTTTTCTCCCATCCCCAACTGCAGGCAACAACAGCAGACAGACAACTTGAGCATTCGGATTTTTCTTGCAATTTGATGTCTGCCCCACTCTGCTTTCAACTCACCCCAGCCGAGGACTAGAATGGGTCATGAGGCTTCCATGACCTTTTCATCCTCCAGAAGGTGACGACAGCACAGAAGCTTCTTGGAGCAGAGTCCAGGACAGTGACGTTAATATCCCAACTCACATAAGGCTTGTTTCATACATCATGTATATGGTAGTCCACAGATTGAAATCTTCCACAAATTTGTGCTTTTTTTTGTACTTCATGAAATGAAATGCTTGATTTTAAAGCAAAGTTGTATAAATATTACTTTTCTTTTACTCGCTTACAAAAATGTACAGAAAATAATAGTAACAGAATGTAAAATGACAACTTTACTATAGTCTGAAAATTAGTTTTAGTTTTCGAAAGCTGCATGGGCTTTGGCCACTGAAATGATACCAGTTTTGTTATACCACCTGTGCTCAATGATTCGCTAAGTCTTCATAATTGATATTCATGTAAGAATTGCTATTAATTGAAGTGTTATGGTTTTAATTGTAATGTCAAAATACACATTTTTTGGTAAGATGAAATACAGGATTTTCAATAAAATGGAACATCTGCTTTTTTTTTTTAAAAATTCAAGATTCCAATTTTAAAGGGAAACACAAAATATTTAAAAGTCACCACTGAAGACAGAGAGCAGAACATGAGTTCTTTTCTCATTCTTACTGAACTTCTGAATAATTAACATCAATTAGCTTCACTGGGAACTACTGGCTTAACTACAAACAGTATTAATACGTAAGTAAGACTTAGGGATGATGATCTCCCCATTCCTGTAAGTGGCAAATGAGAAACCTAAAAAGTATGAGATGCACCCACTTTAAATAAACAGTTCCGTCCAATGGCTCAGAAGCCTGACGTCGTACAAGTATTTTCAGGTACTTCCGAATGGGTGTTCCAAGTTGTTTTTAATTAGTAAAACTTTATACATATGGACACGTATTAAATAACAAAACTGACAAAATACAATATATGAAAAATAAAATGTATCTATATAACTTGCAACAGCGATTACTTATCTATGAGTACATACTTCCAGTTAACACAATATTCTTTATAATTTCTAACTGTAACAATCTTAGTGCAAAATAGACAAAATCTAAAAGAAAAAAAAAAAAGGTTTTTTTCCACGTCATTTAATGTGTTATTTACACCTTAGAGATGCTTGTAATGTTAGCTGGTAATCACAGTTTTTTATTCAACATTAGGCAAGCAGAACACTACCTGTTGGCCAGTGCAAGGCTGTACACCACCACATCGTCCCACTTCCAGTCCCCTGCACGGAACCTGTGAATACCCATCACATCAACCTGAATGGCGTGTAATTATTAGAAACCTGTACATTCACGAATAGAAGAATGATTTGATATACAATTATCTGCATAGATGGGCTTTAAGAGCTTTAAGATTGTGATTGCTAATTGCATCTTACTTCACAGCCTAAATTTGAAATGCTCCTCTGCTAAATACACCAGGTATTTTAAAGATTAGGTGCGTCACAGCATAAAGGCATGTGTCACCTCTCCAACAGCCCGAGCGTAACTGCGTGAAGGATTCCAGGTTTTGTTCTGATCTTTTAAAACCAAAATTTGAAAAATATTCTCCAGATATGATTCAAAAATTTCAATATAAACCACTTTGGAATAAATTTTATAATATTTAAAGGATCTCAATACATGTTTAAAAATACCATTTTTCTCTTCACTTTTTATTTAATATTGGGTAATATTTAAAATGCAATTTCACACAAAGATTAAACAAAAGGAGATGAGTAGTTGTTACATGACAAAAATATAAATAAAGAATAACTGATATATTTTTTAATTAAGAAAAGGTACAGTAAACAAAATGCATTCACAAAATAGATAATCAATACTTTTAAATACCATGACCTGTAAACAGAAAATACTTGTTAAAAGCCCAAACACATGAAATTGTCATGAGCATAAAACATACACTGGCTCAGCATTTTTAAGACAATCATGCATGTTATTCTATGTTAGCTCACAGTAAGATGAACAAAATTCTGTAACCATATGAGATAAGCGAACAATAAAATAGTAAAATGAAAATAAGAGATTGTCACATCAAGTACTCGTTTCCTTCTTACAATTATTATGTTTGCAAAATAGTAAGAAAACTTAGCTGGCCTTGATACATAACCCACCAAACAGCCAGCAAAAAAGTCACCCCAGCCAGGTGGGGAAGCAGAATTTTGCAAGGTTGATTACTTCACTGGTTCTCAGAAATTTCAAAGGTAATCACTGATTTGAAGAATACAGAGGTAGAGTACAAGTCAGCCTTCATAGTAACAAAGAAAAAAAAGTCCATGTAACAAGGTAACGCTTCAGTTGCTCCAGTACTGGTCATTCCTTGAAGCTCACATTTCTGGTGGAGAAAGAAAAAAATTCAAAATAAAGCTGTCTATTATATTCTACTAATGAATATTAGGATAAAAAGTAATAGATCGATTTAGCCTCCTCATATTGTCTTCTGTTATTCCTGAATATCGACTATTAGCATATTATCTAGAACTCTACGTTGCTCAAATGTTTAACAAAGTAAATGTGAGATATGGAGGAAAAGAAAATTCCTTGAGATTAAATCAGAATAGAGAAAGATACAGTTGCAACACTTCAGAACAGTAATTACAGAGTACACTTTACTGTGGTAAGCTCCCAGGAAGGAATCAGTAAGTGGGGTGAAAGATGGTGATTGCACTATGGAGATCGTTCTAATGTAATAATCCATTGATAGGTTTAAAAGGCAAGATAGTAAAAATTTAAACTGCATATGAATTCAGTTGCTAAAAATGGTTTCTTTAAAAATACACGTCATGAAAATGGGATATTTTCTTGTAAGATATGGTACAGAGCTGTCACTGTTAAAACTATGAATGCAAATGGTAGGATAAAAATAGTTCACTACGCAGTATTCTTCAAGTATAGCAACTGGACTATTCTTATTGCTGTTGGGATTCACTGTAAAGCAAGGAAGACTAAAGACAATTCTCAACTGATGATACGCATTCTCAGAAATATATTATCTGTCATTACCTCAGTCAAAATGTTGACTTGCAAAGTAATAGGATCTGCCTAAAGACTCACCAGTAAAGCAAAAGTCATAACTGCTGTTTCATCCCCACTATCAATATTTCATTTGCTACAGTTTCCTTTTTTTTTTTTTTTTTGCTTTATCCAAAAACCCACAGAAAAGAAAATTTGCTGACAATGTGGATCATGCCAGGCTGACCTCAGTTCTCAGGAAACCTGTGTTTTTGTTAACAAAAGTAAGCTTAAGAACAAACTATATGTATTTACCAACAAAAATAAAGTTTAAAATCTTAACAGTTTGGAATTCTGTTTCTTGGAGTTTAGCAGTTACATAGCTGCATTCATGAGCTGTTATAGTATACTATATGGCTGTTATAGTATACTATATGGCTGCTATGGCACACTATTTCCTAAAAAAATCACTGTTTATCTCTCCCTGTCCTTCCACTCTTCACTGCAATTTATTATGCAGTGTAGGACAGACAGGATATAAAGTTGATAATCAGGCCTCTAACACATAACTGACATAATCTAAACCAACAATGATTTCTAAAAGAACAAAAATGTCAGTGAACGTGAACTGGCGAGAAGTTGGTTCTGATTTCTTTTTTATGGACTCTAGTGACCACGATCTTAGACATTCATAGGATTCAAGCACTAACAATGAAAAATACATTAATTATTTCTATGCACTTGTTTTGGAGACAGTTTCATGTAATGTGTAGGGTTCAAATGCATTGTAGTTGGATTCTCTCCTATGGAGTGTCCTTCCTTTGCTGCTGTACTGGAGAGAATTTCATGGCATTTCTCTTAATATGAACCATCCGTTGTTTGGAAATAACTATTAACAATAATAAATTGGCAATATATATTTGGATATAATTAAGGGTAATAATGAGCAGGCAATATAGATTTGGAAGCTGTCAGCTGGTGCAAGACCATTAACAAAAACAGGAATGGGAATCCATTACATTATATGGTCTTTGGAGAGCACTTTACATCTATCATTTCCAATCAATATTTTATGGTAGTAGAGTCAACAAAAGAAGAACTTAGAACCACCTAAAGTGTGTAAGAATTCCATATAATTAAAAGTATTATTTAGAAACAGTTTAAACCTAACTCTTAAACAGAAACAATCTGCTAAAATCAAATCACTTACTTTTCAGCTGCTGCTTGATCAGTTACAATGGTACGTTCTGGAGAACGTGAGGGAGACCTTAATGTTGAACTGAGAGGAGGTGAAGCACGTAATGATGATGTAGAGAGACCGTGTCGACGCATTTCCTGAATTGCACGCTCTCTACCAACAGATAGCAATTTCAGTTACATAACACATTGGTACAGCAGGATGTTAAAAGAAAAAAATGTAACTTTTTTTCCTCCATATTTTTACTTGGTGATTTTCACAATACTTTGCAAAGAGCCTTGTTTTCTTGTAATGTCACTCAACTTTCTTCTTGTGTTCATGATAAGGCTTTTTTTTTTTAGGTGCAATAGTAAACTCACAAAACGTATGACAGAATTCAGAAACTAAGTTTTTTTCTTTTTTAATTAAGCAGATTTCAAGATCAGAATATTAGATTTTGCATGACAATAGGAACACAATTTTCCCTGAAAAAAGCAACAGTTTTAAAAGTGAGAAAGAAGAAACGTGAAGAGTCACCTGGCTGAAAAAACAGCATCTTACCGTTCAAATCGTTCAGTTGTCAGTTGCCTTTTTAAAACATCACAGTCAGTCTGCAGCTGTGTAACTTTACTTCGAAGTATGGGAACCTCTCTATTATAGCTGCTTCTAAAAAAAAAAAATTATGAGAAGCAACAAAGTTTTCTTTGAACACTGTCAGCGAGGAGCTTAGACAAATTAGAGCAAGAGAAAACAAAAATAGATACTGAGCATGTTGTTTCACACAGACCAAATAAAAGACAAATTAGAAGCAGCGAGAACCAAGTGAGTGCAATTTTTCTGGAAGAACCCAAGGTGAGAAAGAAGTGAGAAGCTGGCAAGTCTCTCACTACATCCTTACTACAATACATCATGTTCTTTTTCCGACAAAGGTAAACACAAACATGTTTTATTAATTAAATATTTATTAATTAAATATTTATTAATTAAATAATTCATTTATTGATTTACTATCCTCTGTTGCAACGTGAGATGGTCTTTATGTATACACATAAAAAAGAAGAAGAAAAAAAGCAGTGACTATCCACAAAAAATACAAACATAACAGATATGGCTTCAGTAAAAATTGTATCAAGTAGGCTGGAACTGTCTGTGAACACAGCAGTGAACACAACTGAATCAAATCTAAGTCAAAGCTGCATTAATGCAAGCTCAGACCAGCAACACCTGGTCTCTGAAAGCTTGTCAACTACGCCCTTGGTGTTTGAGCCCAACTGTTTCAACTGCAAGAATCAAAATGAAAAGCAGCCTTGAAAATCTTACATAACATAATTAAATACACTTCTTAGCAAATAATCAGCTTGGTCAACTCAATGTTTTGTTGCAAAACACCACTAACTGCATTATAAAGCAAGCAAAAAAAAAAATAAATCATTGAGTGTAAAATAAGTTGTCTAAACCAGAATCAAGAGAGCTATGTTATTCCAAAGAGTCTTCAAAGCCAATATGAGGTGGAGCGCTCAAAAGTCACTTCTGGAGAAGCAAAGATGTACTAGTTTATTGCTAAAGCACTGGACTTGAATTCTGAAACCCGAGTTCCACTCCTAGCTCAGTCACAGACTTCCTGTCTGGCATCCGCTGGTCTCTGACTCCAGGAAGATGCAAACTACTCAAGAGATTTGAGTAGACATCCAAAAAGAATCGTGGAATATTTTTTCCTGTTGTTCCCTATTCATCAGTAAAATTCCTAGAATGGTATCTTGATCCAGTATGTTGAGAACAGACGCAGAAGACAAGAGGTCTCGATGATATCTTAGAACAAGTCCTTCAGAGACAGGCATATGCTTTCAGGATGGAGGTAAGCATTCAGAGCCCAATATCATTATTGTAAAATAAAGAAAGAAAGCAAACAGTTTCATGAGTTCTGAGGTTTTTCCATGTCAATGACATTTAAACAAAATTAAGATCATGAAGTAAATAAAAAAATTCAGAAATATTTTAATTTGGAACCCCTATGCACAGGAATCATTGTATACTATGATTATATGATTATATATTATTTCTTCACTTCCTCTTTCACAGTGGATACCCACAGCTCTCAAAAAGTAGTTTAGCTACTCAATGTTCTCAGTTTATTTAATAATTAATCACTGCAGAGACTCAAGATCTCATTTCCTGTACTATCACCCAAATAGCACTCTAACACACCTACTCTCTCTTCACAGAGCTCAAAATTACAGCACTGAAGAACCTCACAAGTTAAACTTAATTTTGAGAATCCTTCTAAAGTCAGAGGTTGTATCAGTACCATTTTATAGAGTGGAAATGCAGACACAATAAGGCCAACACTGTAAATAATGTTCAAAAATATCAACACACCTTTTTTTCAGTTAGAATTGAAATTCTGCCAAGTCAAATGAATTTTTGTATTTTGAAAGACACAAACATAATTGTCACATACTTCAGTCACAGCTGTGAGCGCTTAAAGTTTCTGTTCTTCAGACTGCAACTACTGCAAACTGAATAGTAGAAAGTATATACAACTAGTTTTTACACCTCAACACTTGCCTAGCAATATGCAGAACCTTTGAGATAAAGAGAGGGAAACAATTCAGTAGAATAGCCACTATTCCTCCAAGAGAATGTTTTCCTTCTTCCTGCAATATCCTATTCACCCTATTAACCGTGCAAGTATTGACGTTTTCAACAAACAAGAAAGGAACCCTACAATGTGTGTGGAAGAAAAATTGTGAAAGAATTACTATGAAGTTATTTAAATAGAGTTTTAGAATGTTTGCGCACAAAGAAGCTGAATTGAAGTTAAATGAAAACCCCCTCCTTTCCTTTTTTTTTTTTTTTTTGGTACCTTTCGCATTTAATTTCATAGTCAGGACATTCCATTAATTTATGTTATTTGTATGCAGTTAACTTTCTTCCCCTAAGTAAATGAAACTCAGCAATTCTAAAACATGAAGCAATGAGAATGAGTTGCACAGGGACAATTAACAGTGTCGTCATCTACAGATTCATCGAGATCACTGCTACTTGCAGTGGACCATCATCAGTGGAAGTTGTAGCCTTTACGTAAATCAACCAAAAGCATTTTTCTTGCACATTTGTATAACCAAGTTATAGACAGCTTTTAACTGTCTAGGTATGCTATATTCTATATCTCATAAGGAAGCCTTATCTGTCCTTTTACTTTCCATTTGTTTCCTTTCTCTCTCTACCTCAGTGTTACCTAGGTGGGTATATCTGTTTTTCTTTTTCTGAAATTCTACTTTAACTTTACTCTTCACCACCATCTACATTCAGCTGCTACTCCTCCTTCTTGCTATTTAATGCAGAGCTACAGTCACTGGCTAACATATCCCCAGGAGAATTACCACATCATGATGACACCTGTCATGGAAACTTCAAATTGCCTGCTCCATATCATGCAGAAAATGTTTTAAATCCCCCAATTCTTTCGTACATGAATTTCATATACCCAAAACATCCCTCCCCCCTTAGCTTCACTGTTCCAAATAGATTAGTCTTTCTTCTGTAAGAGTGTTAAAAAGTTATTTCTACTCTAGGCATATGCACAGCATAACAACAACAGTTATAGATAACAGAAAGTGCTGGCCACATTTAGTGCAGGTGTCAGGTTCAGTTCTGTTTATATTTCAAAGGTACAATAAATAATACAGGAGTTTTTCAGTTAATATTAATAGCAGCAAAAGTACTTTTGCTGTTTTAAAGCACTATGACTTCACTATTTATTACGTAAGTGATTCTTACTGTAATCAAAGTAAGGCCAACAGGCATCTTGAGTAGGCAAGCAGTTCACATTTACTGTGGATTTAATCTAGTTGGTATTTTTTTTGTGAGCAGTACACGTATGTTAAAATTTTACTTTCAATTTGCTTCGAGATGCTTGATGAATCCACACTGTTCTAAAGGAGTAAGGACTTCAGAATACTTTCCAACATAAGAACATAAAACATAGTTCAAGACTAAGAAAATTTGTGTTCTCTTATTAAGTAAAGTCATAGTTAAACTCTTCAAAGCCAAATAAAAATATGATGTTTTGCTTAAAAAGCAGAGTTGAATTAGATTGCTTCCTGAAGCTAGTAAGAAAATCAGAATCCATGAAAGAGGTGCTTATATATTTTGAGAATTGATACTGTCTGATGCAAAGGTTGAATATCCAAATCACACTGCAATGCATACATTTATAAATGTACCTAACAGCTAAATAAATTTACAAATTATCATAGGTTGGCTGATTCTGTAGTGGAAATAATGTCTGCAACAGATAACTACCTAATGGCAAGGTAGCTGATGTCCACTAAGAGGCTCAGAAGGAAAGGATTTTAGTGGTTGTACTGAAAAGATGTCAGAGTTATATCAGACAAGTGAACTTCAGGAAAGGTATCACCTCCTGTGCCTGACTGATTTGAGGAAGAGTCATGACCAGCAGAGAAGGTGAAGCAAACTTTCTGGAGTTAGACTGGGGACAAATCCAGAGAGAAACTGAGTGCTTATTCTCAAGACTGTGAAAACTCATCAGGGTGTTCCTTCCTTTTGCAGTAGGTTTCCTTTGGAACTCCTGTTTAAGTTTACTGCTTGTACTAAACTGATGTCCACCAGAGTGCTGATTAATGAAAGTGGTATGAAAGATCTGTAAAGAAACTTCAAGTAAACGATGCCGTGAAAGGCCAAAAGACATTGCTGCAAAAATCTGCTCAGCCATACTGAACATCAAAAATTTGACTTTGTGCCTAAGTGTTGTCACACAGAAAAAGTTTCTTTGTAAACCACGTAACACATACATACACTTGTTAAAACTTACAGTTTGCTCTCGGCGAGTGTTAGCTTGTCTTTCAATAACTGAATTTCAGAATCTTTCTCATGGGATGTTAAATGGTTCTGAAATTCTTTGTCTCTACTAGTAGCCAGCAACGTTTCAAGATTCTGAACTGTAAGTCTCTCACTGGATAACTGCTTTTTCAGCAACTCTGCTTCTGATTTTATATCTTCTAATTCACCTAGAACCTAGGGCACAAATTTTATACATGATTAATACACTGGTTTGCAAACACACAGAGTTCTCTTTTGTGAAGAGTTGTTATAAAAACTGAAATGATTGGAATTTTCATAAAATTGAATAGGAAACTGAGCTCACAAAACAAACTAAAGCCTACAATTATTTAAAACTATACTTAGTTAAAAACTATTCAAGCTGTACATCTGTCAAATGTTTTACTGGAAGCTGGATTACTGAGTGCTGGAAGTGCTTAGTATCAGAACTGTAATTGGCTTTTAACAGCAGTAGGCTTTTGCACAAGTACAAAAATACTACTTATTATACTTCATTCTATTTGACTAGGTTATCTCACAATTAGCTTCTTGGCTTTTGCTGAAAATATAGGAATGCTCATTTTCCTCATAAGTTCTATGAATAGAAACAAATTCTGTGGGGATGAGTACTACTGTTCTCAAGGTCCTGAATATTACAGTAATGGAAAGCCTGACCAAGTCACTAAGACAAAACAATCAGCTGTAAAGAAAAAAATTCAGAAATGATGGGTATTTAGAATGGTTTAAACTATTTCAGAATATTTAATGAACTTCAGCTGAATCTAAATTTCAATTTAATTGAAAAAATCCATTAGGGAAAACTCTGTAATATCTTAGTAAGAAGTGCACTATTAACTTTTATAAAAGTTGAAATTCTGAGTAAATTAAGAAACAGTACACAAAACCGAACAAACATAATTTGCCTCTGTGGTTTACCAAAATGACTGCTGCCGCATTTTGTAGTGATAACATATGAAAAACTCCCTCTTTTTATACAAACCCCATAGATATAATTATGTAAACTGCAAAATTAATAATTTATATATAAATGCAAAACTAGTGATGTAATTTAACTTACCTTATTCTTTTCTCCAAAACCCATTAAAAGCAAAGGAAGATATTTTATTATAGCAAATTAAATTTTCCTTTGCTGCTTACCCTTTCATAATCCATGTTTTTGGATGTCAGCTGTCGAGAAAGAAGTTCTTTGTTGGACTCAAGTTTCACACAGAGTTCCCTCACAGAAGCCAGGTCCGCCAACACAGAAGACTTATCCTGATTTTCACGTTTAATATCCTCTTCCATTTTGGACATATTTTTTGTCATGGAAGAGATCTGAGATTCATATGCTTGATGTGCAACAATATGCTAAACAAAGACAAATATGGATACCCCTTCAGCACTAAATGTTGAGTTAACAGTTTTCTGTTGGATAACAGGTCTTTTTTTAATACTTTCTTTCCCCTGCAAAATTAACTTTCCCTTCAAAATTAATTTTCCCTAGCTAAGAACAACTAATAAACCATCTCTGCAATTTTTAATCACCATCTTGAAGAATTATACAAGTACTATACAAGAGCGGAATGAGGCTGGATTCCAGCTTCAGAAAAGAATTAAAAGCTTAAAACCCCAAAATACAGTCTATTTTTTTACTCAGCTTACAATATTAAAGTCTCTAATTCTTTTTGGCTAATTAAAAGCATGAGACAAAATATGGTAAATAGACAACTATTATACTCTAAGACTTCTTTGATCTCCATGAAGGTATTGCTTCTAAAATATAAACCTCATTATTTTCTATGCTATTGGTCCAGGTTTCGTTATTATGGAATCCTGATTCTGGATTTGGACTACTAATACCAGATTTTTACCTTTACTCCAGCCACCAACGCTTCAAGTACTTCATTCAAAGCTTCAAAGAAGTGTAAGAACTAAGCTTACAAAATACTCATAAAGCTAGCTGACAAAATACTCAAAGCTATATGCAAATATTTTGAGGCAACTAAACAAAAAGTTCTTACAGAGGCAATAATATAATAGTGATGATCACCCAACAGAAGATATCTACAAGTATTAAAATATATGGTGTGATTCTAATTTTGGGAAAGCACGTCTAACCAAAACCAGTTACTGTTTCAAAAACTCAGTGTCCATATTTGAAACATTCACATATAGGAGTTATTTTCCACTAAAGCATTAAAAATAGCATGTTGACTTTATTAAACCCCACATGAATGTATCCCACCTTCCTTGACAGAATTTCATTGCACAAGTTATTACCCCTTGAATCTCTTTTTCCAGAAGTTCTACTCTCTCTCGAAGATGTCTCCGATCGGTATCTATGGAAAGGAGTTCAAGTCGTATTGAGCTGCTTTCTCCTTCAGCTTGATGAGCCTTAATTTCCCACTCTTCAGCTTGCGTATGGAGCATTCGGAACTTCTCTAACAATTCTTGGTTTTCTTTTTCCTGGATGAAACAATAAATCAATCTGCAATGATCAATGTATCTTCAAGTTGCTTGATCTTATTTCATGCCTACTCCCCACAATATCTTTTTTTTTCTTTTTTACTAGAAGAGAATAGATCTTTCTCCATTTTCTTAATCCCACTATCTGCTAATCACTAAAGGGCATCATCCCTTTTGCAAGTCCAAATAGTGAATAAATATAGTGATGGAATTCAGTTTTATTAAATGGATGTATTTACATTTAGCTGTTAATGAGTTTCAAGGCTCCCAGGTGAGAGGTTATTTTAGATCTTCCTGCACTGTCAAGGGTCACGTTACTGAGATGTACTGATCCTAGCGCTGTCTCTTCCAAGAAATTCCAGCAGGACTGCATTTTCATCTCTTTTACTTACAGCAGTCTTACAAATATTTATATTACAGCAGTGTCTAAAAGACCGATAACCTATTCAGGCACGTACACCTAAGCAGTCCATCATAAAAATACAAAATTGCAGGCTTTAGTGCTTATAAGTTTGCAGTGATAGAACAAATGTTGCTTGTGAATTTTAATTTGGCTCAACTGCAAGTGCATATTATAAGGCAGTGATTAATTTTTCTTCTTTATTTAGCTCCATTCCCTTCTTCCCCTGTTCATGTAATGCACAGCAGGATAAGCATGTTGCTAGCATGAATTAGATTTATCTAACGAAGAAAGCTACTGGTTTTGAAATTCATTCTGTGTTTCTTGCAGAACATGGAAGGTGCAGACAGAATGAGGTGGGGCATTAGGAAACAGAAACTCATGATTCAGCAAGTGAACAGTGTGCAGCAAAGTAAATCCTTGTATCCACAAGCAACATCCGGATGTAATACTAGACAAATCCCTGAAACCAGCCTTTCGTAATTGGTCACTTGCTGTATATTCTACAGCCTCTTGGTACCTGACTTGAATAACTGGACTCTCGTTTGCCAAAGATGTGGCCACATCTGTAGCTGAAGTGCTTTGGACATATGATATATTATAAAATTCTTAAAAACTAAACTTCAAGTGTTTTAAGTTGAGAGTTCTAAGCTAATATATTACTGACCTTAATTTTTTCTCTATGCTTCAATTTCTATTTGTAACAAGTGGTTGAATTTACACACATTCATCTAGATGTGGAAGTCAAAGTCAGATCAAAACTAATTTTTTCCTATTCAAAGTCAAATAATAAATTTTTCAGTTTACGTTGTCTTGACATAAATTCTATTTGTTTTAAATTATTACAAGTTTTAATTCACACACATCACACTTTTGAATCCAAGTATCAGGATACAATACATTTAACAAGAGCCCTGTTTTGCCAGTACAGCAAAAACTCTGAACTCTTACCACTCATAGAGAAAACATTCCAGTGTGCTATTTTTACACTTGCCTGCAGAACCACATATAAAATTTCTCTTTTTAAAATATTAAAAATCATCACATCAGCTGCTTGTTGCCTACAATCATGAAATAGTACCAGATATTTTACTAGTTGCCTTGTCAAATCTCAAAAAGCAAAACAATGTTCAAACATGATTTGTTTGTCATTCTCCAGTGTTACGGCCGACTGAAACATAATCAATAAAATTGTGATGTGCCAGAATTTATCAGTGCTTCATATCTAATAAGGTTTTACATGAATCCACTAGTAGCTTGAAACACTGCAGAGGAAAGAATGAAAAAAAATAAAAGGAAATGGGACAGACAGGAGAATGGGACCCAAACCACACATTTTTAAATTTGTTTATTATATCCTAATGAGAATGGATTTATTGAAAACAGCAATGACTGACTACAGGTTATACTTTTACCTTCGAAGACATCAATGTCTCAAATCTGGAAACTTCGGTTATATAATTATGAACTCTGGTTTTCATTTCTTCTTTTTCACGTATTGCATCTTCAAGTTCAGTACTGATAGCCTAAAGAGATTAGATAAAGGTAAAACGGTGCATTAGAGTAAATTAATCACGATATATTACTGTTTCAGACTAAATCAAGGTAATTGCATATGCCCTAGATTTTATTCTATTCTACTTTTGAGTAATTTAGTCAAAACCCTTTGGGATTTGCAGGGTTCAGAAATATCCCCTATTACCTTAGATACACCAAAGAGTTTTCCAGGCAAGAATAATCACAGAAAACAATGAATATCAGACCAGTTCATAAAATCTGCAGCTTCCCTGATGACACACCCTACTGACTTTGGGAAAATTCAACGTACAGATGGCTGGGAGCTGGGATTCTTCTAGCCTTAAGACTCATTATCCCTGAGTGAAGGAAAGCTTTGTGTCACTGGAAAGTCAAATTTATAACAAAAGAACATTTATTTTAAAGTAGAATTGCAAGATAAAATTACTAAATGCATTCTTAAGATCATACTCAGACATCAAAAATCGACCATGGAATTTGTTCAAGAGGTTGGAACTGCTAGGTCTGGCCCGCTCAGGTTCAGCTCTCACCTTTCTCTGAGTCTTCTAGTCCAGAGGGCCAAAAAGTATCTTCTTCTATTCCCCATTATCAAATGTGGGGGAAGTAGAGGATGTTGCCTTATTTCTTTCCCCTCTTCTTTTTGTGGTATAATAATATTCATTAATAGCAGCCTTTTTATTGTGTGCCTTATTTAGCACATGCTGAAATCGGTCTGCTTGTCTCTGTGGTAGCCTTCCCAAGCACAGTGGGAAAGCTTTGGTCATCACATTATGATAGTATTTAATACTTCATTTTATTAGATACCTGTGGATGGCATCTCTAATTTCAATAATACACACACACATTGTACCATAGGTTTTGCAAGAACTATTCAGGGTACTACATCATTTACTTAAAACGTCTTGCTGTATTGTACTTCCTAGCTTCAGACTCAGATCGGTTGACTGAGGGGAACTGAAATAAATGGTTTAGCTAAAAAGGCCCTGATTATTTTTAGTGTTGGCATTTACAGTGAATTCAAGCAAACATTTTTATCTCAGCATCAAAATTGTACAAGGCATTTGAGTCTCATGATGAGCTGCAATAGTTGTATTTGCTATACAAACTGGATGTAATGAGTTGCAACAAAATTCTGGGGTAGCTCTTTAAGTCACATTCACATATTCTCTGCATAGTCTTTTTAATCTTTCTTTAGCCCAAAAAAAAAAAAATAATGTTACTTACCCTATAAAACACTGGACATTTTTGTTATATATTGTCCATACGCACATTCTATTGTACAGGGACATCCATCTCATGCACTTGGAGCTGGGAGGCTTTTGGTCAGCAGTAACCAGCTGGTACACAAAACCAACTCATTACTCCTCTAACTATGTGAGGGATTAACAAGACTGAATGCACTTCAGGCTCTCCAAGCCATGGATCCCAGACCCACAGAATTCCAAGGAAGAAATAGAGCAATGATGATTGGGAAGAGTGCAAATGGACATATACTATATAAGCCCCTTATGCTCATGAAAGAATGAGCCTTACACACCAGTGGTTGGTTTAACTTGTGGACCCCTGGAGAACATATCAAGATGAAGATGCCACAAGAATAATAATGATGAGAATCAAACAGTTTAATTCACTGAATTTCTCAACTATTTCTATCTTGCAAAATTTGTATTTAACCTACACCATCAACTTGAGATAGCTCATCTTTCAATAAAATATTCAATGATACCCTATGGAAATAGGTAATTCCTCAAGGCATTAAAGATTTTATTTCAACTTTGATTCTGTAACTGACATATGTTTAAGTCATGCCTTTATAGCACGCACTTTACAAGGAAATTTATTTAGCCATCAGCAGCTGAGAGGGACTGTACACCTCCCAGCTGGAAAGCTGACCATGGATACACATGAACCAACTCAGAGTCCGCTGGGCAATCATAACGCACTTCCCACCAGCTTTTTGGCCGAAAGCTGCTGACTGGCTGGCTGTTAGCAAGGAGGTACATTATTACTCTAAACTGCTAGAGAGCTAAGGAAAGATGAAATCATAGAAAACTAATACAAATAAAAATACACAACATAACACTCTGCAAGCAGTCAAATAAAATACCTGAACAGGATCTCCACAAAAACCAAAACCCACACACAAAAAAAGCTGCAATATACAGCTGAATTCTAAGATACCACCTTGCCGTGACACCTACCTTACCAATGCAAAGACAAGCCAGTAAGAGCATTTATCCAAGAAAATAGATGGCAACTTTGAATTCACTATCTGAAAACCCCACACAACCCTGACACAATGGAAAGGTTACTCCTCCTATTCCCATTGACTATGCATCCTTACCCATTCCTGAAATCAGGAAACAAATTCAGACTATTCAGGACTATCATACCTTAAAAACAAGTTTTCTTCAATCCCTCTGTCTTGTAGCTTTTAAGTCCTCTTATATTTTCTCCCCCAACATTAACCTTTCCCAATCCATCAGTGAAAGCAAAGTTCCTGCAGAGCAACACATATGAATGGAAACTAACCTTGCCAGGACTGGAAATTAAAAACTTGCCAGTACCTCTTTACAGCCACCATTACCAAGCCTCACAGAACACAAACGTTAAAATCTACATTCCAAAACATTTTAATCTCAAAACTCAAACCTCAAACATGGCATACCTCACCCAATACATCCAATGCTTCATAAAAACTAGATGGATGAAACTAATGAATCACTATGCACCAGAACGATTTCACATACGCTAGCAATCTCATCTCTCTCCCTCTCACTTTCACCTGACTAATAACCTGATACCTGCTTTTGTGGTTTCTTGCTCTCTCTCAATAATCCCTGTTTCACAGATAATAAACCCCAATTTTTACTAATTAAATACCAACTACCAAGCGATATAACCAATTAACATAATTTCATTATAGTATAAACAATTATGTCCTGGATTTATTTTATTTAGATTTCTTTTTTAATCTGGGGAGGATGACTAAACTGAAAGCTTGTCTATTTGTCCCCCACTGTATTGATTACACTTAAGTATCTAAAGTAATTGCTTTTACAATTTCTGCCCAGTCATTTTTAATATCCCAATGTTCAAGAAATACCAATAATTAAACATACAAAATCAAAATTGAGGATACAGAGGTTTTGATGTACTACTATATGTAGGCAAGCAATAAATAGTTTAATACTTCAGTACTATGTACTGCCTTCATACCTGGTTTTCTCTGGCCATTGTAGCTAGGTCATCCTGCAATCGTCTGTTTTCTTTCAGAGCCATTTCCTTTATTCTTCCTGTTTCTGCAAGCTCTACGTGGGACGTATCAAGCTGGCGATGTAAACTAGCTATCTCACGGTCTCTGTTGCTCAGCATGTCTTTCATCTGGCTAGCAAGTGAAAATCTTAAGATTTATCTTTGTCCCTTCTTATACTATACCACATACTGCTGAAAACGATCAATTGTGGATTTTGGATAGACAAAAGCTTTTTTTTTTTTTTTTCCTTAAAAGAAAAGGTAAAATTCTTGCTCCCTGAAGGCTGACAAACTGCATCAAAACAAATATAAGCTAAGGATGTAAAATGTCAATATGCACAAATAAAAGGGAATTAATCTTCAACTCTGAAGATGTATCTGGTAAGATGTATCTTATTATGCAAACAGCAGTTACAGATACTTATGTTTGTCTGTGTTTGGTAGTGGTTACAGTATGTTAAGCCATTGCATATTTTATAAACCATAAAGAAAAAAGACAGATAGCTTACACTTGAAAGACAACAATCAAAAGAGTAAGGAAGAGATTAAACAAAAAAGTACAAATATAAATATGCATGAATTTAAGTCAACTCTTGCATTAGTTTTTTGCCACAGATTCTTCATGCATCGATGTACCAAATATTCAGTTACACTGGTCTTCAGATGTTTAAATACTGGTGTTTAAATTAATTTTCTTTTAAAAAGTTATAGTTTTAAAAGTCTTGCTTAAAAAGAAGCAAGAAGGAAAGATCAGAGGAAGCCCAGCTAAAAACTACATAAATATATTTTAGTTAAGACTGTACCGGTAGCTTAAGCTGGAAGAATAAGCTTGCCAGTAAGTAAGAGTTCAGCTCTCAGTTCTACCTGGGTCAAGCTAATAATATCTAGTGGAGTACTTGAATACTAAAATTCTCAGTTAAGAAGTAGCTTTAAGAAATTTTACCTGTTTTACCATTGTTAATGGCTGTCTTAACAGTATCTTAGCAGCCTGCAATATAATTGCAGGGGAAGTCTCTTCAAAAGTTGTGTACATCTTTCTCAGTACAGCACACTCCTTTACTTGAGTTAAACAGAATTAACTCCATTTCATCAAACTAACTAAAATAGCCATCTACTTTCACTTTAAAACAACTAGATAGATAAAATAAAACAACTGAAGAAGACATCCTAGTCTTTACTTACTCTGTTGAAGACTCCAGCTCAGAGAGAGTTAGACGTAAATGAGTAATTGTTTTTTCCTATGAAAATAAAAGCAAAAGTTGTATTAGGTATTATTATATTGCAACATAACAGAATACTTCAGGTTAAAGAACTTTACATTTAAACCTTTATTTTAACCCTTCACCAATAAGTAACTGCATCTTTGCATATTCAAATTTCCAAGCTTCTTTTATTTACTAAGAAAGGATTATTTTGTCATCAAAAAAGACGGAATTCAGCTATAGATTCTGTCACCTCAGGCTAGAACCTTATATCTCAATAAATATCTCCAAGTGCAAAATACAAAAAATACTTCTTTATTTTCTTGGAGTGTTTAGGGGATACACTAACAATCATAATTAAAATGCTACTGAGTTGGCAAATGACTCTTTTTATTGGCTAGGGCCAAACACCATGTTTATGTCATGTCTAGAGCTCTGCACAGGCTTTATCAAGGCAAAATGTCTCCCTAAAATGTAGCTGCTTTAAAAATCCCCAGATGGACCACAAAGGAGTAGTTTTACTGTACATACCTTGTTAGCTAAGTTGTCGTCTAAGCATGCAATTCTTTCTGTTTTTTCATCTACAGTTTCTTGAAGACTGTCCTTTTCTTTGTCCAAAACAGTAATAGTACTTCTAAGCACATTGACTGCTTCATCCTGTGAAGTGCTCCTCTGATTTAACCTATCTATAAATAAAAGAATAAGTACTTTCTATTTTAAAATCAGGAAATAGGCATAAAAATAACTAGTGATTACCTATTTTCTCCTCTAGCTTTACAATTTCTTCTTGAGCTGACTGCAGTTCATCCTTTTTGAGGGACAATCGGTGCTGTAAATCTTCAACAGACCTCTGGAGTTGGTCATTTAAGAGCCTGGAAAATCAGTATATCATTGAAAGAAGTCTGGGACCTATTCAGGGTCATCAACTTGTAGCTCTTAAGCTACTTGAAGTGCTGGAACAGTTCTAGTAGTAAGCTCATGATAGGGTTGTGTCATGCCAACCAGCAGCACAGGGTTGTGTCATACTAACCAGTCCCTTCCCTCCCTCTCTGGGAGAGGGAGGGCTATTAAGGATTGCTGAGGCCAACACCACTTGGTTGCTCTGGACTTCTACAGCAAGTCCACTTCAACACCATTCCAAAATGGAGCAACAGAACATAGGTGGAACCACCATGATAATCTGAAACACCCACTTCCTCTGATTTCTGTTACTCTGCAGCATGTAACTCTTGCTACTTGTGTCTTTTGACTCTTTGCTTTATAAAGATTTTGATATGTAGCTCATACCAGTGATCATCATCTACACCACATTTTAAAAAGCAACCAAATTGACAGCTACAGTTCTGATGTACTTCTAAGAAATACAGAGCCAGAAAGAAAGATAAAACCATCTATCTACATAGTTGTTTCGTTTAGCAAGAAATATCAGAGTGACATATGAAAAAGCAAAATGAAACTCCAAAGTAATTAGATGGATAATTTACAAAACTGCTCAGGAAATAAAAATCCCTCTGAAGTGGGGTCCCACAAAACCTAGAGAAGCTTTTCATTTAAAAAAAACCCCCACCAATCCAGAATACAGCACGTCTGCAGATAAAGATTGCTCTCACTCAATTTAGAGTGAAACTTTAGAAGGGGAAAAAAAAGGAGGGGGGCCCAAACACAGCTATAACAAATTGCCACCACGCACAAAGTAGAATCAAATGCTGAAATGACTGTAGCCCTACTCCTCATCTCCTTTTTATAAAATCAATACTTTCCACTAAATATGTAAGGAACCTAACAAGATATTTCACTTTTATGAATGTTGTCACAATTTTACCAACAAATACACTAACTGTTTTACTAACTGCCTTCTTTGTGCAATTGGGAGCATTAGATGAACTCCAAGACCTGCTTCTCAGCTTCAGTTCTTCATAGTTACCCACTCTTCTATTGTACTGTTATACAGTGCAGTATACTACTATCAGGTTGGGGGGGGCTAGGGGGTGAGCCACAGACCCTGGTTTCCCTTGTAAAACATCCAAAAGATCTCATCTACGGTATTACCTAACCTGTAGTGATCTCTTACAACAAAGACTCATCTGCACCTAAACCAAATACCAGATTTCCAAATTTCCGCCCAATTTATTCAGTACTCTATTTCTACTTTCTCTAAGCCGCCTTCTTGTTCCATCACATTTAGATAGCTGATGGGAGCTTTTTTCTAAAACCAACTTTAAAAGAGTGCAGAAATGATTCTGCAAGTTTAAGTAGGCCTTAAAAATACATGCATATACTTGATCCCCCAGTTTTGAGCAAGTTGGTCAAATCCCCACAGACCATGTCCATGTATCATAAGATGTCAACTCTCAAAACTGTAGTACGTGTGTGTGGTAGTATTAGCATATGAAAGAGAGTGACACAAGAAAAACAGCTCAAGCAAAATGCCATAACAGAATGACTCTCCATGAACTGATAAATTACAGAATATCAATGCCTAATGCTTGGCATAAAATTTTCAGTATTACTGACAACTCTGTAAAACTGGCACAATTTGGTCCTACTGCTGCAGTTTGCAAAGGCATCTGTCTTCCTTTTAACAAACAGCATTTGGAAATAATTTTAGAAATTTTCTGGTTTGCTACATTCATAAACAGAGAACACGGCTGTTAAAGGAAACAATTCTAGAAGGAGGAGAAAATTTTCAGTCATAGTTAGCCATAAAAATTATCAGTATATCTGGTCATCAAATAAGTCCAGGAGAAGCTTGCAGCGAAAAGCCACCACAGCACTTTCCTTACTCATATTTACTTTTCCTTAAGAATGTAAAAATACCAAGTGATTTTGAAAATATTTTATGGTCTTTCCCAGGAACTGAACTCTGCTGTACAGTCATAGAACAAACAAAATTATGTTAGCATCTGTGAAAGACCACCACATTTTGTATTAGACTTACTGAAGTGAGCAAATCTCAGCTTTAAATTGAGAAGAATCATCAGATGTCTGGGCAAGTTTACTGGATTTCAATTTTAATTCATTTTCCAAAGTGTTTATTCTTTCTTTCAGGATAGAGACTGCAGTCTTTAGTTCACACCTTTCCATCTCAAACTGCAATTTAAGAAAAAAAAACCAAACACGTTGTTGTAGAAAGCTATCACAACTTGCCTTGTAAATAAATTTAAGTTGAAAACAGCTAACAAAATTAATTGCTTATAAAGTCTATCCTATAAAAGCTTACTTCCTAAAAATGCACTTACTCCTTGAATACTATTCTCCAGTTCTGAAATATCATGCTGCATCTTTGATTTTTCAAGGTTAGCTGCTTCTTGCTGAATCTGAGATAGAAATATAGCATTACATGTAACAGATATACATTTTTAGATTTAACCATAGAAATTTAAGCTTACCGTTTAAGAAAACATTGCTCTACATTCTCAGATGAATGACCAAATGCAACATTCTCTCTATAAAACGACAGACCACTAGCTCAAAATACATGACTGCAGTTCAATAACATCACTGAGTTGTCTTTTTGTTTTGTGTTTGGTTTGGTTTTTTTTGAAGAGAAAAAGTATATTTATATTTGGTCCCAACCAAATTAATATTTATGAGTTGCTGTAGAAAGATTACTGAACTACAGGGCAATATGAAAGGTTGCAAGTATGTATAGCTTAGTGTCCTAAGCTGTCTGAAATTAATGTATGAAGTTATCATGAATATGAAACATAAGACAGATTACAAAGCTAACTGGTCTTTCTCCAAGTCTATGAAGAAATCGGTTTTAAATTATTTGTCTGACTTCTGTGCTCAAGTACAGTGAAACTATTAAAAAAAAGTCTCAAACTTCCTAGAAATGCCTGAGATGAGTGGTTTTGTGCAGATATTTCAAAGTGGCACACATACAAAAAGTTGGTAGTCACCTACAAGAAGAAAGGATGGAGCTGAAAGCACATCTCTTCCACCGCATGCAGGTGCTTTAAGCAAAGAGGTCAGAGTTATTGCCACTGCATTCAGATACACTATGGTTCTCTATTTTTGTGGTAGCAAATCAAACCATGGAAACATTCATCATACAATCAATCTTGACATATGCCGGTTTTGGATCAGTCCATTGATATGATTTTAAATTTCTGAATTTTCAGGACATTTTAAAAACCTGTATACATTTCGGAACGTGGTATAGTAGGCACGACGCTGTTGGGATGATGATCGGACTTGATGATTTCAGAGGTCCTTTCCGACCTAAATGATTCTATGATTATATTAACGATCCAATAAAGAAGTCAGGGAAACCACCCTGAAATCATATGCTTTTGACTACAACCAAGTAAGACATTCATGCACATTAATACCAGACATCAAAAGGTCAGATTAACTTTTTAAAGGCTAAAAATAATGAAACTTGGATTGCTATGAATTTATGTTTAAAGGTTCAGTTATATGCTATTTAAAATATACTCTGCCACAAAATGCAACAATAACTAAAGATTAGTTAAAATGAAAAAGTCCGTGAAGTCCCAGTTTGTGGGATAAGAACCATATGTGACACACAAGCATCTTCGTAGTAGTGCACGCACAGAATAATATTCTGTGGTTGAGGTTTCATTTCTAGGTTCTTCACACAAGGTGATGCCATGCTTGCCCTCAGACACTTAAAGCATGTTCCTCTCGCCCTATCCCCACCTAGGAACTAAGTTTACAAGGGTAATTTGGACAATTCATCAAGTCCTCTCAAGTGAGTTTGAAATCAGATAAGTTGAAAAGTTACTGAAAAGGGGAACTGACAGCCAGACACAAACACGGTATTATTGTATAAGCCTTCAATATATGCCACCTCACTGTAAGCAATGAAGCTATAAAAGCTCACCTTTAATTTTTCTCTGAGGCTTTCTTTTTCTGCCATCAGTCTTCTAAAGTCAGTCAAGGCAATGTCTCTTTCTTCTTCCACGTGACTTTGAGAAACTAAACTATGTTTTGCTTCTCTTCTCATCCTGTTTAATTCACCCTGCGACTTTAAAAGATTATTGTTTTTAAGCATACATGGATTGCAATTAATACAGTGTATATACTAACAAAAAAAAGGTTTCAATGCTGTTATTACCATAGAAGTGCTATTATAGTCTTATTTTTCCCCTAGATACCTAAAATATATTCCTCAAATCATGCAGTGGCATAACAACTTACACTGCCAACATACTCTTTCACTGTTCCAAGTATAGCCTAACTTTTACTGTTTTCTTATCAGTTAACTACTACTTCTTCCTTGCTTTCTAGAAGGTATCCTTACCCAACTTTCTCATGCATTCCTACTGATTTCTCATTTCCAAATGCCAGTACAGTAAGTTATAATGGCTTTGAAGTTAATACACTAACTTTGGAATACATAATTTTATTAACAAGTAATAAAAGTAAGTATATCTTGTATTATTCTTGGTTGTATTCTAGTAGGTCTACACTCATCAAGTTCTATTACAGAGAGAAGTTTTTTCATTTTAAATAAGCAACAGTACAAGTGTTAATTGGTTAGTTCAATGCCAATTAGAAACAATCTCTTCTTACCTGCTCATAAAGAACATTTAATCTATCTCTTTCTGTGGTCAATAATTTGACATTGGATTGAATTTCTATCATGTGTTTTTCAAATCTGTCTAACATGGAACGTAGCTCATCTCTTTCTCTGGTGATCAATCTAAGATCTTCACTCTGCAAAGTGATTAATAAAATTTATGTTAAAATATATTAATTAAAATATTTGTATAATTAATACAAAAAAAGAAAAAATCACTCTATTAGTAATACATGAAAAATACATACATAATAAATTCTAATTGCAAGAAAAAGCCTAGCATCAGTAGCATAATTTAAACAGTAAGAACTAATATTAAGCTGAAAAAGCAAAACAGCTAACAATAAGATTTCAACCTTTTTCTGTTTACCATCTGGTTCTATTTATTTCAAACAAACTGATCAGTAATTAATCAATGTTACTGAAAAATGTGAATAGGAAAATAAAATGCAAGTTCACTAGAGTTTTTCTCAGTTAATTTTTTTATGTTAATAATGTAATTTAAAAAACTTCTACAGTCATTTGCTGCTACTGAATTTGAATATACCTGATAGCTCCTTAAATGGCTCTACAGTATTTCCATTATTTTTTCAGCTTGTCTTGACAGCAGGAACTTTACCTTCTCTGGAGTCCTACGGCTTGGGCTAGGCCTTCGTTTTATCATTTTCTGAAGATATTCTAATTCTCGCTTATAATAATCTCTGTCATCTTCTAAAGTCTTTACAAATGCATCTAGACGAGATGGAGATTTTTCTCCTAGGGCTATACCATATTCTAATCTCATTCTTTCTATTTCTAGGACAAGTTCTCGTTCTGCAGAAAAAGAAATAAAAACAGCTGTATAGGAACCTCATGAATTTCCACAAAGACATTTGCGTTTGGGATGCCCAGCAACAATCTGGGGCAGCAAATCTCCTGAGAAGGATGTAGGAGTCCTGGTTGACAGTAGGCTAAACATGAGTAAGTAGCGTGCTTTGGAACTGATAGAGGCCTAACGGCATATTGGGCTAAATAAACAGAGACACAGACCGAGGGATGTGATTATCCCCCTTTACTTAGCACTCATTAGATCACGTTTACAATACTGTGTTCAGTTTTGTCTCCCCTAGCACAAGAAAGATGTTGATAAACTTGAGTGAGCCCAGGGGAGGTCTCCAAGCTGGTCAGAGAGCAGAATACTTGCTCCGTGGGGAATAGCTGAGGGAATTAGGCTTGTCCAGCCTGGAGAAGAGCTGGGGACCCAAGAGCAGACTGACAATACCAAGAGGGGTTATAGATAACATGGAGCCAGTTTCTTCATAGAGGTGCACAGTAGATAAACAAGGAAAAATGGTGATTAATTGCAACAGGCAATTACAAGCAATACAGGGAAAAATTTTTTACTCTGAGGATTAAAAAAAACAACATTGGAATGGGTTGCTTAGAGATGTTGTGGAATCGCCATCCCTGGAGGTTTTCAAGATCCAACTGTATAAAGCTCTCAAGAAACACAGTCTGAATTTACTCACTCAGAAAGACAGCGAATAAACACAGTTTTGATCCAAAGAAATTATTTTGTATGAAATTGCCATAGCATTAGTATTAAGGTGTCCTGGGGGATCACAGTAAAAAGCTCAACTTTCAGTTTTCACATACAGAATAAAAACATGTTTCCATGACAAAAGTTTTCACTTCAAATCTGACTGAATACCTATAGTCTTCTTTTAATTTACATATATCAAGTCTTTCAGTATTATTAACTGGGTAAGGTTTTCTATTTCAAAAATTATAGGAAGATAATTTACAGGAATCTACATTTGATGATTTACCTTTTATTTCCAAGTTCTCTGTTTTTTCTGTCAGCCTTTGTTTCTCTTGTTCAAGCTGGTTTAAGAGCAGTTCAAGATTCGCTTTGTCATCTGTTTTCCCAAAGAGTTCTTCACTCAGCCTCTCATTCTCCCTACGACATGAGCACAACTCCTGAAGTAATAAGTATTATTACAAAAATTAGAAGTGCCAATAGAGATGTTTGGAAAAAAATATTTAACATTTTATTAAAAACTTTTAATATTCAACACTGTTTACTTCTGTTTAACCCAGATGTTTTATGCTTTAACATTTGTTAAAGGCCATCATTGTTTTTATACTACTTTTTATTACATCAAAATAAACATTACTTTTGACACAGTTTGCAATCAGTAACAAAACAAGCAAGATTAACCCTTGTTTAATTCAAGAAAACAACCAGAAGGATAGTGGGACACAAACACGGAAAAAAGTAATAACTATAGTAAGAAATAATTTTTAATGGCATTTAGTAACACTGTTGGTGTTAAAGTACATCACAAGACAGCATCTCAGTCCACCCAACCCTGCAGCTAATCAAATGCTATTTGGCATGTCTTTCCTATGATCTGGTGCCCTGAAAATGAAATAATTTTGTATTTTCATGTTCACCAGAAATACTAAAACAAAGCAGTGGACTCAACTAATACACAGCTTGCTATATGCTGGAAAGAGTTTCGTCTTTGAGGAACTGATAATACTGATGTTTTTCATCTGGGCTACTATGCTTTGTTTCTGAGTGAGCCAAGTACTGCATAATTATTCACATGGTGATTAAGAGACAAAGCAGTTTCTTAATGAAGAAAATCCTCTAGGATGTCATAACTCGCTTGTGGTAAAAATGATTATGTCATGGAAACTACAACTTCAGAGAGCAGAAGAAAGGAAATGTACAGTAAGGACATAGTCAACCATACTGTCTACAGATGTTTCTTTCAGTTTGTTTTTGCAACAATATGATATAGCTTCTTTAGCTCTTTCATTTATTAATCAGTAATTTTTTAAAATAGAGTTTTGGGGTACTATAAAAGTTCTCTTGTTAATTGTTAAATTGTTATTTTTTTTAACAAATGAAAGAATCATGTGGATGACAGTATGATAAATATGCTACAAAAAGGAACTGAAAGTATTTTTACTTACCGATTTAAGCCTTGTTATTGTTTCTTCCAGATCCTTTATTTCACTGTGTTTTCTTTCGATTTCTTTCTATCAATAAAAATTAACCTTTATGTTAAAAGTTACATATTCAAGATGACAACAATTCATTTGTTACAAAAAAATGAAGGAAACGGGCTATTTTTGTAAGAAATAAAGCATAGTTAGGTCCCTGTAATCTGCCAAATTTTAAGTAGTAAAGCTCCTATGAACTGAAAGCACAAAAAATTTGTGGTATACACACCCATGCTCTTTTGGAGCACAACAATGAAATAAATCATTGCATAACTCCTCATAGAAAAAAACCCTCCAAGCACAGGCATCACTGTTGCAAATATCTATGAATATTTTTAAGTATCTCAGAATTTTATTTCATATTAAGCTAACTGAAGGAAAACAGATTGCCTCTTAATTAAACTCATCTCATCTAACACAGCAAATTGCTGTGATTAATCATCCTTTAGCGATAAATTCTGTATAATATTAAGAAAACTGGAAAAAATGCCTTTTTAATCTTCCTTTACAAGCTGACAGGTCATTTGTTGCAATTAAGACACAAAGCCACCTAAAAGCTGAGCAGATCCTTCACACTGTAACAAGTTAGTGATTACCTTTGCTTCTCCTATTTCCTTATCTGCAGTCTCAAGCACAATTTCCTTGTGTCTTTCCAACTGCTGTGCCAAGTGGTCTATTTCATTCAGTTCTTGACACAGTTCTTCATTTTTATTGCTTAAATGCACTACCTCACTAGTCACATTTTGTTTAGTGTCCAAGAGGTCTTGAATGCGTTTTTCAAGTTCTTTATTTGTTTGCTGAAGATATTCAACCTGAAAGATATTTTTCATTAAAACATTAATATGTCTTGTTAAACTAGGTAGCAAAAGTTCCTCTCAATCTTCTGAAGTATCGTATCCCTATATCCACAGTAAAAAAGGGACATCCTGTTAGAAATGGCAAAATTTTCTATTTGTAGAACTTAATGTTTATCAATATGAAAAAATATGATTTTACAAAGATGCAAGGTGAAGGAATTCACTACTACACTGTTCTTTATCTAGTCTCCAAAACATGAGGTTTATTCTAAAAACAAAGTACTGAAAAGCAGAGATGCCTATAGAAACCTGTCTTGGGCATCGGTCCAGTAGACCCAGTGTACTCATAGTTTCCCTAAATTTCACAAGGTGGGAGGACACATTCTTCTCTCCACCTTTGTAGTATATTTGCTATGCTTAGTCTCACTGTTACTCCTTCATGAAAGTGAAAATTTACAGATCAGATTCCCAAAACCTGTCTTGCCCTCAATATATCTCAGGACCTTAAACACAACATCCTCAGAAGTCCTGCTCTACAGACATTGTTCTTCCCAGTATACCTTTCCCTGAGAGTAAAGGGAATAGAGGCAGGGATGTAGAGTAGGAATAAAAAATACACAAAATAAGTTCACTACACAGGAAGATGGGAGCCTGGAGTATCTTGAAAGATTCAAGATGACAGAGGTTTCATCTCCATGCAATTTTCCTCAAAATTCCAGAAAGAAATTACAGTAGACATGGAAGAAAGTCTGAGCCCTCTCATAATCACGAACACTACTACATAGAGATATCCCTCCATTTATTGTCAGAGAATAAAAGTGGTATATTGGCACTGAGCCTGAGCAAATAGTCTTGATGGCCCAAAACCAGCTTTATGCAGCTCTGGACTCACTCTCTGTACAATCAATTTGTGTTCAGCATGACTTACTAAATTCAGGATCACTGAACACAGCTGTACTTCTTCCAAGTCATAGCTCATTCTGTATTTTTGCAGCACTGAACCCAAGCTAATAAACTCTGCAATATGGCTCTCGTGCTGCTCTACGTTGTACGCAATCAGCAAACAAAACATCTAACTCAGTTGGAAAAAAAGAGAATTGATGGTATAAATCAAGAGGCAGGCTTTACTTGATCTGTACTCCAGCCTGTCCTGTGGTTTTGGTTTTTTTTTAAATCCTCATCCTGAGGCCAATATTGAATGCATGCTAATATGCACAGTAAACACAAACATCTTTAAGCTCTTCCTTTCCTTGCAAGTCTATGCTGAAGTAAAGCTAGGGACTATTTGAATTCAGTAAGGAATTTTCCCCACTATCTGATGAGATTATCTGCAGCACTACTCCTTTTCATAAGTACATATACCATTGTTAGTTCCTAAATATACCACTGTTAGTTCCTAAAACATAAATTGTATGTATGAAAAAAAATTAAAAGAAAATAAGTATTTTCAAACTTGGTGAAAACAGCATATCATACAGTATTTTTCTGAATAATCTCAGATTAACATTACTATGCACAGATAGGAGTTCATACAATTCTTTACCAAAACCATTTTAGTGGACTTTTGAAACAAGAAATTAATTTCCTTAGACAATAAACAACGCCACCTAAAAAGCAAAGCAAGTTAAATTGATTGATTTTATACCTCATAGTGATTTTTTTGAAGAGCTAGAAGTTTCGTGGGGGTTTTTTAGTTTGCTAGTATTTTTAGCTTTGACTAAACAACAGTAATAAATCCATTACCTGCAAATTCAAATGGGCAATAAGCTTCTCATTACTTTTACTTCTAGATTCCAGAGAGATAACCTCATGAGAACGCCCACCATCCAATGCTAGCACTAGGCGCTCTATTTCTTTGTCTCTTAGCTCAACCTTTAAGGAAAAAAAAAAAAAAAGGTTGTTTCGTACCTTCTGTACCATTTAATAGAACCTTTGTTCCAGTAAATACCTATATAACATTCAGTAAAAAGATATGCACCTAAAAATGCATTTTTATCATTAATAATTTTTTTATTAATTCTGGATTTTTCTGAAAAAAGTTATTTCTTTGAAAGAAAAATAAGTTAATCAAATAGAATTTGTGGGGGAAAAAAATGAAACAATTCCTACTAGATCATTTTCTTGAAGAGAAACCAACAACTTTCACTTAAAGTAGAGTTAATGAATGTTGCAAATTAACTGAGACTAGCATTTAAATTTAGGGAAAAAGCTTTTAAATCAGCTAATTCAGTGACTATTTCATTCACTGAAAAAGTGGGAATACTGGAAAAGGAAAACCAAGATATGATCAAAAAAAAGGACAGTGTTCACTAATCTCCAGATATTGAAAGATACAACAACATATGAACAATTGATGCAATACCATCACTTAAAGATTATACATATCTTATTAATCCATTCTAATTAAAATATTGTAAAATCTGTTGTGAATAAATTAACTTTCAAAAGTTAAAAATTAAAAAAATATAACCTGTCCAAACAGTGAAAAAAATTATCCCAAGATATCTGTAGATCAAATTACTATTTTGGACCATATGCTTCTGCACTAAAAAAAACCCAGGCATACAGAAATTCTGCTTCCAGTCATCATGTTTAGCTTACATAATGTAATTTTAATACACAAAAAACATCAGCAAAAGCAGCAGGCAAGTATTTTTTCATTACTGTTGTTTCCAAAAGCAAAGGAGAGAAACAGCTCAACCCAATCAAGTTAGAATAGTTGTATTTCACACACCCTACAACACTTTCCCCATGAGGTTAAAACACAAATTATAATCAAGGCCATTGCAATGGCTACATACCTGTTTGCTATAATTTTTCATTCCACGTTCAGATATCTCCAGTTTTTCCTGTAGTTCTGTTACTTCTGACTGAAGTTCATGAATTCTGAAATGTAGTAATATTTCACTTATGTGAATTCATGGAAGAATCATATGTACACAATAATTCAATATCAATATTTTCTTTGCTCCTGAACATAAATATTTCACAAAAAAATTGTTTTTTTCATACAAAATATTAATGCAGAAGCTGTTGTTTGAGATATTGTAGTGGGTTGACTTTGGCTGGCTGCCAGACCCACACCCAGCTGCTCTCTTGCTCCCCCTCAACAGGATGGGGAAGAAAATAAGGTGAAAAAGCTCATGGGTCAAGATAAAGAGGGTGAGATCATTTACTAATTACTGTCATGAGCAACACAGACTCGACTTGGCAAAGATTAATTTAATTTATCATCAATTAAAAATAGAGTATGATGGTGAGAAACAAAGACAAACCAAACCCCTTCCTGCCACCCTCCTTTTTTTTCCAAACTCAACTTCACCGCTTCACTTCTGACTCTTATACCTCTCCCCTACCCCAAGTGGTGCAGCAGGGATGGGGAATGGGAGCCGCAGTCAGTTCATAACACTTTGGCTTTGCTGCTCTTTCCTCTTCACACTGTTTCCCTGTTCCAGCGTGGGGTCCCTCCCACAGGATACAATCCTTCATGAACTGCTCCAGCATGGGTCACTCCATGTGTTACAGTCCTTCAGGAACAGACTGCTCCAGTGTGGGTCCCTCATAGGCAACAGCTCCTGCCAGAAAACCTGCTACTGCATGAGCTCTTCTCCACAAGCTGCAGTTCCTGCCAGGAGCCTGCTTCCAAATCTTCTTCACAGGCTGCAGGGGAATCTCTACTCCGGTGCCTGAAGTACCTCCTCTCCCTCCTTCTGTGCTGAGCTTGGTGTTTCTCTCATATTTTTCTTACTCCTCCCTCTCACTGCTGCTTCACAGCATTGTTTTTTACCCTTTCTTAAATACATTTTTCACAGGGGAGCCACCAGCTTGGCTGATGGGCTCAGCTGTGACCTGTGGTAGATCTGTTTTGAAGCCAGGTGGAACTGGCTGAGTCTAGCACAGGGTAGCCACTGGTCTCTTCTTGGAGAGGCCACCCCTGCAGTCCCCCTGCTGCCAACGCTTTGCCATGTAAACTCTCTACAGATATATTCTAAATAAGAAAAAAGAATTGACTTGAACCTTTCATGATACAGGTTCCAAAGCCAAAAACAGTATTTACAAAAATCAAGAATATTTTAGTCTTCCAAAATAAATAGGAAAACCAAGTTTATTCCTATACAAAACATTACACATAGCTTTTTTTTTTCAGAATACCCAGTCTAAAATAAGGTATAACAGTAAAACCAGTACAGAAATCTTAAGTGAAAACCTTTAAGGAAATAAGCAGCTTACTAAATATCCATTGCAACTCTGTCACAGGCAGCACTGTCAATCACTAAGCAAAATCCTATTTAAGAACTATAGTGCTCTTAAAACATCATGAAATACCATTTTGTTTGAGCCAAATTTGAAAGGCAGAAGGAGGGTGGGGGTTGGAGAAAATCACTGCAGATATTTAACACCTATATTTTAAAATTTAAAAGTTCTTTAATTACCTATTATCAGCCACCTGAAGAAGGTCGGCGATATAAGGGTCCTCTGGCTGAGGAACTGGATAGGCACTAACACCTGATGGAGGGACAGGCTGGTCTATCTGCATGCGTTGACGTCTGAACGGAATGCTTCTTTTTCTGCCACCTAAAAGCCCAAAGCAAAATGCCTATTACTTGGAATTAAAGCAAGGGAGTTGTCGTCTTTAATACAAGATGAAATTTCCCATTTATTCCACTGCTTCCAAACTGGCACGTTTCACCATTTTAGTCTTGCTGTAATAAGTTGATAAAATTTGGACCTTCTAGACAACACCACTCTTGCAGGTTAGCATCAGCTTTGTCAGAGTTCAGTTTTATACTGAATTTCGCATGTTTCCTTGTAAGTCATTTTCCCCAGAGTAGACCCTAAATATTCTACAGTTCAAACTTGTTGAATATGTTAGTTACTTACCTTACTGAAAAAACTAAATTACAACATCACAAAAGACATTTTGTTTTCACATTTAAGAACTATTTTATGACTGAACTAACCTCTGCATTGTTTAGTAATGGGGTTTTCTTTCCTTCTATCCTATTGTCATTTTGGTGAATGAATATCATAAGAACATCAAGCACTGTAGGTTACTTGCTTGCATGGTAACATTATATTAAAAACAAAACAAAACATAGTATTATTTCCAGAGGGAACAATTACTCTTCATTACATGATTAAACAAGAATATACAGTATTTGATGACATAGTAAAGAAAAATCCCAGAAGAGTGGTGACCAAGGAGCAAGTATGCAGAAAGACAAACAAAAGTGTAATATGGCATCTTTGAAGCAAAGGACACGAAATACAGAAAGGTGTGGAAATATAGAGTAATTTTAATTTCACCTAACTACCTATTAATTTCCCTCAGATGCTAAAAATACATAGGCAATTCAATGACTTGGAAAGAAAAGACAATTTCAAAATTTCATAAAATACTTCTCACTACTTCCCTTAGCTTGAAAAAAAACAAAGAAAAAGGAAACCCCAGAGAAAGAAATTAACCTGATAGTAACATTCAGAACATTTTAAGTTATCAAAAGACCCTTTAAATACTGTAAGCTTTCAGATGGTTGGAATATTTATTTGTAGACATATTTTGCATCTTGTTACTTTTAGATCTTGGTTACAGAAATCTGAATTAATCATCAATTAGCTTTCAAAAAGAGTCAAGTGTCAAACAACCTGCCTCTGACTAAATTAGGTGCAGCATTAAAAAAAAATTAAAATAACTGCTGATTAACAGTGCTTTCCAGTCACATTTTAACTTAATAGTCTTCTATTGAATCTAAGTTTGTATTCAGGTTTGTCCCTAACACAAGTGATGTGCTAATGAAACTTCTTCCATATGGAGAAAAAGACCAAATTCAGAGCCAAAACTTTCAAAAGGTAATGTTATTCTGCTGGATAGTTATTTCATTGTAGTAACTTCTCTTAGAGGACAAAACCCCATTTATGTACCAAAGAGTTAAAAAAAGCCAAGAGTAAAGTTAAAATATCTGTGCTTATTTACACTCACCAGGTGTTTGCACCACTGCTTGGAGATTCTTCTCCTGAAGCTGCTGAATTTTTTCAGTCTTGGCTTTGTTCTCTTTTTCCAGCATTTTAATTTTATGTATGTATTGGTTATTCAGAAATTTCAAGTCAGCTGTTTCATGTTCAACCTTCCTTAAGGAGGCTTTCAAATCTTCAAGGGACAGAAAAAGCAGTATTATATTTCTTTTTATTTATGTATTTATATTATTGTGTTTATTATTTATTTTTTTTCCTAGTAGCATCAAAATAGGCATAAAGAGAATCCTATATTCTTTTTCCATAACATGAAATTTTCAAATAGACATACATATATGTATGTATATACACACAAACACATAAAAACATTATTTATACATGTTACACAAATAAAACCCCTTTGTAGAATAAAGGCACATTTAACAGCAGTATTTAATTTTAAAAGTACCATTTGATGGTATGAAAGTATATGTTTAAAAGTTCTACCATTTTCATGTTCGATTAAAACAATGATTTGCAGGACCTCAGAAGCTTATTAACTACAAAAGACATATCTGTGCATGAGTGTTAGTTCATTAAAGGCACCAAAGTCAGTCATAGAATCATATAATCATTTAGGTTGGAAAAGACCTTTAAGATCATCAAGTCCAGCTGTTAACCTAGCACTGCCAAGTCCACCACTAAACCATGTCCCTAAGCACCACAACTACACATCTCAAATATTCCTAGGGATGGTGACTCCACCACTTCTTTTCTCCAGGCTAAACAATCCCAGTTCCCTCAGCCGCTCCTTGTAAGACTTGTGCTCCAGAACCCTCACCAGCTTTGTTGTTCTCCTCTGGACACATTCCAGCAACGCAACATCTGTCTTGTAGTGAGGGGCCCAAAACTGAACCCAGTATTCAAGCTGCGGCCTCACCAATGCTGAGTACAGGGGCACAATCACTTCCCTACTCCTGCTGGCCACACTATTCCCGATACAAGCCAGGATGCTGTTGGCCACCTTGGCACACTGCTGGCTCATATTCAGATGGCTGTCAACCAGCACCCCAGGTCCTTTTCTGCCAGGCAGCTTTCCAGCCACTCTTCCCCAAGCCTGTAGTGTTGCATGGGGTTGTTGTGACCCAAATGCAGGACCCAGCACATGGCCTTGTTGAACCTCATACAATTGACATCGGCCCTTTCGATCCAGCCTGTCCAGATCCCTCTGCAGAGCCTCCCTACCCTCGAGCAGATCGACACTTCCACCCAACTTGGTGTCATCTGCAATGACCACTCACACTCACTTATAAGTACAGATAAATGAATCTGCAGATCAAGGATTTGGCCCCAATTTATTTTAGCGTGGAAGGATTAAAAAAAAAAGTACAACAATTTTATATTACCTTTAACATGACGATCAGATTGCTCTTTCAATTTTAATATTTCTAAATGTAGTTCATTATTTTCCCTGGTAAGTTTAGCATTCTCTGTTTTATAAGGTTCCAAAATAGCATCATAATTGCTGCATTCTTTTTCAGATTTTCCAGCAGATAATTTTGCACTGCGCAAGCTCTCAGTTGTATGAACTAGGTCACTAGAATACAGGAGCATCAGACATGTTAGAAATGTTATCAGCCTTTACACTGGATATGCAAGTATTTATTATGACCTGAAAAACAAAACTCCTTCCCTGAGACCATGTTAACTGTAGAATGAATGCATTCAAAGAAAGGCAAAGAGAACATTCATGTCAAAAAAACTGAAAGACAAGAATCATTCACTTACAAAAAAGTAAATAGGAAAGGACAGGACAAATATAAAAAATAGAGATATTTAGAAAGCATATCAGGAGCTTACATCTGATAATTCAATAAACTCTCTTTTCTACATAAAGTGAGATATACAAAACTGGCAAGATGATTTTTTCCTCCAACCACTAGGTAAGTTGTAGCACTACTTACCACAGAAGAAACTTGAAGTAAAGAATCAAAAAGGCCAGAAGGTTACTGATATTTACAAGGAGATCAGAAGCTCCATAAGAGATTAGTGGTAAGTAGCTACAAATATTTTGTGAAACTAATATCAAAGTCAGTGATTGAGACATTAATCCTATCCATTAGACGCCAGAATGAGACTTAAGGTTGAAAGCAGTTTACTCCACATCTGTCTACCTATGGTTCTTCCATCTGTATTAGATGCTAGAGAGCAACAGAACAGAATACCTACATTTGCACGTTTAGCCAAATATAATAGGATTACTACGGAAATTACTATGTTCGTAATCACATCAAAGCCATGAAAAGGCAGATACATTAAGGTCACCTGAAAATTTGTTTTTCTTCTGTTATGTGTCCTGTAAAAACTGCAGAGATAGCAAATTTAAACTTCTCCAAATAACAACATAAAAAATGGAGCTGTGAATGCTCTATTTTCAATCCCTGTTGTCTGTACTCTGACTATTTTTTATATGACCAGTTATAAGGGTGTGTCCTTTAAGCACTTATCAATAGTGACTATTCTCAGCTCTCTTATGAGTTTAGAAAAGTTGAATTTTCCTAGACCATAGATCCTTAGAAACAATTCTACTGAATTAAATGAAATCTTAAGATGTTCTCATCATTTAAGCAAACCCATTTGACTTCCTCATACACACGAACTGAATGTTAGCTCTGAAATAACATTGCTTGAACATAACCTTCAGACTAAACATTCTCCCTTATATGCCAAAAATCAAGCAATACCCACTATGATTGCTATGTTTTTTAAAAAATCTCCTTTTGCATACCTAAAAAGATTTTCCACCAAAGGTAAACTCTCCACTCCCAACGGCTGCCGATAGCCCAGTTGATCTAGACGTTTCCTGAGATTAATGAACCTTCGCTCTGCAGTTGTAGTCATTGTAAACACACCTCCAAAGCAGCTCTTCTCACAGTCAAGAAAAATAGGACACCTGCAAAAGATTGTCTGTTACAGCATTTGTCCTTTAGAGAAGGAATAAGAAGAAAAAAGTAATGGAAACCCCATTTTTTCTGTAGGAAATACAGTGCATAAGCATGTCCTTAAAATTTAAGTAAATCAAAAGAGAAACACGGAGCAACTAAAAAATTTTAAACATATTTACATATTTCTTGAAAAGAAATATTTGCCATGTGAATTAGTTTTCTCTTTCCTAACATCTTAGAGTACGAACATAATCTTTTCTTCCCAGTATTTAAGAACTGAACACTGAAAAGACCTTTCTGTGGGAAGACTAAGAAGTAGATTCTGATTTTTTTGAATCATGGTCATCATAGTATTTTCCACAATGCAAATTGACAGATTATTCTCAAAAACCCCTATAGTTTTTTTCTTTCGTGTATAAATCTTACTTTCAAAGCTGACAAGGCAGTACTTAACTCATGCCAAGCATTTGTAAAATTGCATAAAACGTGTAAAATTTTAAAGACAGATTAACTTTGAACATCCTTTTTCTATGAGGGAAAACAGGAAAGAAAAAAAAACATCACTGTACTATATTCCTACCTGCATCACTTTCTGGAAAGTACAGTTCAAGAATCTCATATAAAGGAGATAGAATATAGATATCATTTAAACCATGCTGTTTCACAATCCCCCAGATTTTAAGAATGTATTAAATAAATATATGCAGATATTTGAAAATTAAATTATTTATGGATAATAAAATGAGGAAACATGCAAGTTTCTCTCATGTCTGAGGCTGGAAAGTAAGATTTTATCTCATTATATCAAAACACTACAAATAGGTCTAGAAATGGGACTGCAGTTGCCAGGTACTGATTCATGGATGAAAGAAAATCACCAGTCTTATGAGCACAGTCTCTGTTCCAGGTATTGCCAAAATACTTGTTTGAAGAGGTTCAAGTGTTGAGAAATCAACTAGACAATGCCATGCAGAAGAATCCCTTATGTACTGTACTGGGATGGCTGAAGGAGGAGGCAGCGCACCTCCTTCCACTAAATGGTAACTGTCAATGTACTAAGTGGAAGTCAATGTACTGGTGTGTATTAAATGCTCTTCATTCTCCTTTGGCAGCTGAAGATTAAAGCTAAAAGTGATGAGACCTTGGTACTTCTGCATTAATGTTGAAGATTCTGTGTTAAATTCAGGAAAACAGTGACTGTATTACTGTGTCTAGATTTAGTCTCAGGAATACATCTCTTATTACTAAAGAAGTAAGCTGATATCTCCTGAGCTCATCCCCTCCTTAAGAAGAACCATATCAGTTAAAGAGATTAAATTAGTTTGAAATTGTTCATCAGACTTGATATAATAGCTTGTGTTTTGGAAAGAGAAAGGATTTTTCTGTTAATCATACTGATAAAGTTTTACAGGAGAACATCAAGAACAAAACTGTGTCACAGCTTGTAAAGGAATAAAGTTTTTCTACAGTAACTGTGGAGAAAATAAATGGACACATGTTAGCACTCCAGTAACTGTGGCTAGGAAATAGGCACAGGATCTTGCTAAATCGTTGCAATGAACATTTAAGTGAGTTTCACCTAAACATACTCTACTATTGAGAGGTACCAACAGCTTTCTGATTGAATCACTCTCCTTGTTAAAGACTGGGAATTTTTAATTCAAGACATTGCCACTGGAATCAAACAAGAAGGGGTATTATCTTATATTCCCTAGAGCTACAGCTGATCCAAAATTAGTCCAGGAAATCAGTAGCTGGAGTCTAAGAATGAAAGTTAGAAGAATTGGGGGTTTTTATTTCAGAGAGCTTGTCGTGGTTAAACCCCAACCTGCGACTGAGCACCACACAGACACTCACTCACTCCTGGCCCCGGTGGGATGGGGGAGAGAATCAGAATAAAAAAAGTGAGAAAACTCATGGGTAGAGATAAAGACAGTTTAATAATTGAAATAAAATAAAATAATAATAACAGTAGTAGTAGTAATAATAAAGAACCAAAGCAAGCGATGCACGATGCAATTGCTCACCACTCGCCAACCGAAGCCCAGCCAGCCCCCGAGCAGCAGCTCCCCTGACAGTTTTCCCCTAGTTTATACACTGAGCATGATGTCATATGGTCTGGAATAGCCCTTGTTTGGTCAGCTGTCCTGGCTGTGCCCCCTCCCAGCTTCTTGTGCGCCTCCAATCTTCTCAGTTGTTAGAGCATGAGAAGCTGAAAAGTCCTTGACTAGCTACTTAGCAACAAGTAAAACATCCGTGTGTTATCAACATTGTTCTCATACTAAATACAAAACACAGCACTATGCTAGCTACTAGGAAGAAAATTAACTCTACCCCAGCCAAAACCAGGACAGAGGTCAACCAAAACCAGGACAGAGATTAACCCAGATATTAAAGTCTTCAAAGACAGTAATCATTATTCACTCTTTGTTGGAAAGAAATTATATGTCAGCAATTCCAGACCTCTGTTGTAACAGACAACCATACCATAAATGTCATATCCTAAACTTAAAGTCTATCACTAGTCTTACCATGACATCAAAAAGTATCTAGTAACTTTTCTATTGGGAAAATTTGGTTTTCTGGAAATATAAAATGAAATAAAATATGGACTGCTGTACTGATTCAATTGAATCCAAGATCAGTCTGACCCAACACCCTACGTCTCTGACAGTTGCCACAGCAAGAGTATAAAAACCCACAAGCCAGATCTTACTCCTACATACCTTCTCTTTCTATAAGCCTACAGTGCAGGGACTTGATGGGCCTAAAGTTGAACTTAAGTCATTACAATAGTACCCAATAGACCTTTCTTAGACACATCTAATTGTTTTCTAACCTTTTACACTTCTAAATCAAAATAGCCTGTGGCAATGAATTCCTGATTTTAACTGTATGTCTGGAAAAGTATAGCATAAATTCACAGGTGTGCATACATGTGTGTCCCCTTTTTTCTTTTTATTGTAAGATATACTGAATAATCATTCCTTATTCATACTTTCAGTCATTCATGATGGCGTTTTTAGCAAATCTATTTCCCAAAATGTTTCTAGTAGCTTGTACAGCTTGTCCTTTTTCCATGATTTTTCTGACTGATGTCACTCTGAGCAGCCATAAAGATTCTGTGTTGCAGCCTTCACTATTCGTAAGGATTCCTAACTTACCATTTGCCTTTCTGATTGCTGTAAAGCATGAATTAGATGCATTCACATTGACACCAACATCCCTTTTTCTGAGCGGTAACCACCACTTTAGAGCCCATGACATGTATTACTTCGCCTTTATTAACTCCCACTTCATTACTCAGTCCAGTTATACTCTTCTGCAACCCTTGGACTGCTCTTACCACATCCACATAACGACCAAATTTTGTCCCTTGCTGTTTAACCCATTCTTTCAGATCACTGATCAGCAGAAAATCTTCTGCACATTCACTGTAAGTTAGTACTTTCTACCCTTTCTTTTAGCCACTTGGTGAGCTATTAAATGACCTTTTCTTCATTTCTGAGAGATCTCTGTTTTCTCAAAAGCCTTTGGTAAACCTTCTCAGAAGTTTTTTGGAAATCCAAGTTTTCTACATCATTCTTACCCAGTCAACTCAATCCAGAATATCATTTTCTTTAAAGAAACTTAATAGCCTTGTGAATCATGATTGAGTCACAATGAAAGGTATGTTGAACTTACTAGGCATATCTGTAATTTTGCAAAGTACTGAAAAGCACTCTTAACAACTTTGGTATTTCCCAGGAGGTGGGCTACATTAGCTGTATAAATAGTTCACACAATTCATTATCTAAATATTTCATGTGATTTAGTTCTGCTAGGAAATTAATCTAATCTCCCATTTAAATGAAAAACAGAAAATCAGATAAACAAATAAAAGGGAAAATTTAATGGTACTTTAAATCAGGCATTTCCAGACAATTTATCAAGACATCTAAATGAGTGCATCTTCCAGTTATTCACAGAAGAGACATTCAGAGCCAATAACCTCATTTTTTCTTCCTCCTTTGTTCATGAAGACTGCTAAAGATGACAACTGTCATGTGCTTCATTTTGTGACATGCCTGGATGGTTGGGAGCAGACTTTTGAAGACCTAGATGTTTATGAAATAGACATATTTAGCACCTATGAACTGTTCTCTATCGCTCTAAGTCACCAGTGACTGAAATTGATCGTTGACATCAAAGATGGGCAATAATGGAACTTCAAATCCAGTTCCTTGAGACTGTAAGTGCATAGAATAAATTTGCATAAAACTGCATATGAAAGAAGCAATGTTAACAGGTATTAGACTAACCATTGCATAGAATCATTTAATTTGGTTGGAAAAGACCTTTTAAGATCATCGAGTCCAACCATACCTGTCCACTAATAAACTAGGTAACTAAGCACCTCAACCACCCGTCTTTTAAATACCTCCAGAGATGGGGACTCAGGTGGAATACTAAACAGAAAGGCTTTAGCACATCGAAGCACTCCTTTCAGACTGAAAACAATGCAGCAAAATTCACAGTGAGTATAGGTTAAGAACTGTTCCAGATTCAATACTTGTGTTATCAATAAGAAAACGTAATTTAAAAAAACAGAGCAAAGATATGTCTTGGCTGTGGAAGACATAATGAGGTCATTGAGCCATGTGGAAGAAAGAAAACTAGATAGCTGACAATGGAACACAAAGAAATGAGCATGGACAAATGTATGGGCTATTAAATCAATGTGTTTACTGAGTCAGTAACAGCAAAGACAATTATGAACGGGAGTTTTCAGCCTCCGTTCTGGAAAATACCAAAATGCATTTTTCATTCATCTGAACTGATACGCTAAAGGCCTTTTTTTTGCATGTGTGTGAAATATGTTTACAAAACATCTGTTCCTGTCCTGTAATTACTGGTCACATAGCTCATTCTGCAATAAATAGCTAGTTTTGTTTTTACTCAGGTAAAAAAGGTACCTAGTGGGCCAACCATTTGACTACAGTAATGCTCTAATACGTGCCTGTATACAGTCCACGGACACCGAAGGCTGTGTTGTGAAATGCCACTACTTTAAGATCATCTTCAGGATACACTGAATGAGCCTGCACTTATTTGGGAGGAGCCTGTTTCCACGTTGACTTGCTGGGAGATCAATTCTGACTAGATATTCATACACTGCGTTTGCTGTGAACTGTCGCCCCTTTGCCAATAAAAAGACAACTCTTGCTCTAGAAAAACAAATTTCTTCTTTAAGGAGTCACCAAAAGCTCTAAGTTTATATCAGAGTACAAGAAAACCCTACCGATTATGAGCTTGCTCATCACCTATCTCCCCAAACTGGAAGCTTTAAAGATCTTTCAGCAACCCCAATCGATACCTACAGAGGAGCAGTCAGTCCCTTTTTAAACAGGTCTATTTTTACTTTTTCTACCCTCCCTCCGGGTCGGTCTTACCGAACGTACCGTTAACAGCAACTTCTTGGAGGGCGAGCCGCTAAGGACTCGCCCAGGTGCTCCAGCGAGGCTTCGGCAGAGCTGCAGCTCCGGGGGGGGGGGGGCGG